CTCTTTCCAGCACTTGCAATAGAGAAGGGAATTCCTGACGACCACGAAGCTTCAAGACCTGAAGGACTAATGGTGGGATAACAGGAGCAGAGAGGAGAGCTTTGGATGGGGGCCACTCACTATGGAAAAGACAAGTCCAGCTCTGACTGAGGCACCAAGGGGGACATAAAAGGGAAGAAAGCACGTTTTTTTCATTTCAAAGAGCTTCTCATGTAGTTGAGATGATCACATTGGCCTGCTTGTTCTGCTTCCCTATGAGGTTATTAGTCTCATTACAGAAAACATAGAGACAAGCGGATTGTGAGCCATTATCAAATTTAAAGTGTTTACAACTTGCTTTGGGTCTTCCCAGGTTATTTACACTGCATCTAGGAAAACATATGATAAACATCCATCTTGGCACAAGTTGCTTCCACCCCCCACACCACTGTGGATTATTTTTTGAAGGGCGGCTTAGAGGTAGAATTACTGGGTGAAAGCATGCAAACATTTTCGTGGCTGTTGGTACATGTTCCAAAAGGCTTGTGCTGATGTTTATGCTGTGACCCCTGCTGGTGATTTGGGATTTGCTTGTCTCTTTGTCTTTGGGTCAGGAGCCTGCGGCCATCTCTGGCGATCTGTGTGGGAGAGGGCCCTTGTTCTCCCAGCTCTGTGCCTGGCGGGGACCCCACAGCGCCCTCCAGTGGCAGGCAGCAGAGGTGCAGGAGCTTTGGTCCCCAGCTGGTGCCCAAGGAGTGTGGGCTTGGAAGGGACAAGGGGAAGAGCCAGGTTCTCTGAGGAGGGAATGTGCAATTTCACCCCAGAACAGGGATTATTTTGACTTCCCTTAACTCCACCGCTTGCTCTGTGTTTTTCCACCATATACACCACAGCGCTCATTTATGGAGGGTAACTCTGCCAACAGCCCTGTGAGGTGGCTTCTGTTATCACCCCATGTTACAGAGGAGGAAACTGAGGCCCGGAGAAGTGCCTTGCCCAAGGTAAAACTCTGGTCTTAATTTCTCAGGTTTTGGGTTTTGCAAGAGCCAGACTGCCTTTCCTTCAATTTCTCTCTCTTTCTCTTGACTCAAGTTTCTTTATTTCAAACAAAAACACAGAAGCAGATACATTCAGTGCCCTGTCCCAAGCTTGCTTGGCCAAAAGGGGAAAGGGAATCAGAGGGACAAAGATTCCAAGTTCTCCCAGCCCAGGACGGGGCCTCGGGTACCTTATCCTCATGGAAAATTATATCCCGGGACGGGTGCCCAGGAAGCTGCCTACACAGCCCTGCAATTAGGGCTACAATCATGACAGCAATGTTGGAATATATTTTCTTTCACCAGGAGGGCCGCTGTGGCCCCTCCCTCAGCTCCCCAGAGCAGCATGTGTAAACGATTAGGCCGGTCTGTTTTTTCTTGAGCGCTTGAGAGGAAGTGACATTGACATCCTTGTGGCCTGATGGCGGGGCCAGCGCCTCTATGGGAACCGGGCCCATGGCTTTTTCTGAAGCTGGTGTTCTTGGGACCCACCTTCCAGGCCCTAGTGGGAGCCCCCAGCCAGTGTGACCCCATCTCTGCTGCAGGCAGCCCCAACCTGGCGATCCTTCACGGCCCCTCCCTCTGGACTGAAAATAGAAAGACCAGATGCACCTCCATCTGGGTTCTGGGGCACTGACCAGGGCCTGGCTGGGCTCGTCCACGTGCTCACAA